TACTTCAAATTGCTTTTATTATCACTGCATGGGAATGCAACAATGTTATTGTGCAGCAGAGCAAACCACATTCTAAGCAATTCTAAAAATGGGGACAGATGAAACAAAAAATGTAACTTTGAAACTGGACTTTGGATTAGTACCAAATTTGGCACATAGGTAGCAGATTTCCTGTTCTTGCTCTTTGCCAAATTTGGGGAAATCTAGACAAAGGGTTTTCGAGTTATATTTTGTTAAAAGTAAAACATCAGAAAATTGCTTGATATTGTTGCCCAATATGATGCCCGTGTTGCCAGCAGGAAAAGAGATGTCAAGCTTTATGTAGCAAAGGGAATCCCTGGCAGCAGTCAAGATTGTCTACAGCAGTGGTCCCCAACCTTTTCGGGACTGTGGACCAGCTGAAGAAGACAGGGCACCCCCGCCGCCCACATGTGGGGGCACACAACCTTTTTGGGACTGTGGACCAGCTGAGGAAGACAGGGCACCCCCCTGCCCACATGTGGGGGCACGCGGGTGCACAAAGCAGCTGTGGGGGGAGTGCGTGCAGGTGTGTGTGGGAGGTCTGTCTTTGTGGCCCGGTCCAGCTCAGGCCACGGATTGGCACCAGGCAGCAGACTGGGGGGTGACGACCTCTGGTCTACAGGATGCTTGTGCTCACTACCAATCACACTGGTTAAAAAACCAGCCCTGATATTTTTGTGTGTGTGATAAGTGGTTAACTGATGAAATGAGTCAGTTTGCAGGATTTTCCCTTTGCTTGAAGTCACTTTGTGAATGGTAGTGTATGTAATGCTATGTATAGCTTGGCATCCACATTCCTATTGGTAATGTGGGCACAATATTGTGCTTCAATATTGAGCCATTTCCTGGCATTTTGAATCATGCACATAGAACCACAGTATCCCATGTTCCTAAAGTGGACAGGGTTTTTATTTTTTTTGGGGGGGAGAGAATTTAATAAATAGGATGTTTGAAGAAATTGTATGTAAAATATCATGGGATCTTTACTGTAGCATAGTTCTGCTTTTGTATCTCGGTTTTGAAGGAATATGTCACAGGGAAAAGTGCTCATAGGTGCATCTTCTAGAAGTAATGTTAGCTAGCTTGTTCCTGATATATTTTCAACTTTCAGGAGTTTTGTTTTGTGACTCATTCTGTGGAAATAAAGTGTTTCTTCCTCATTTTGTTTTCCGTTTTCCAAGTAGCAGCAGTAGATTACAAAATTGCCCTTCTGTTGGGGATAATGGTGGTCCTTTGCCAGCCAATGAGGAATCAGCCGTTTGCTGACATTTGGAATCACTAAGCAGAAAATCCTTCAAAGAAACCAATACTGTACTTTGAGCATGCAGCAAACTGTGCTGTGGATAGATGGTTCTGCTTGTGTTATAGTCCCTTTCTATCTGCTTATTTTTTTTTGAATAAACTCTTCTATTCATGTTTTATTTCCATCAGACATAACTGACGGAGAGCCCTTACCAGCAGAAATGAAAATAATGTCTGTTGAGAATACCTTCTGGAGAAAAGTGCCTCATCATTTGTATTTTGCAATAGCCTTTATTTTAGGATAACTTTGATAGTTTCCTTTGATGTCAGAGCTTTTAAAATATCTCTTATTTGGAGATGTGCTAACTGTACATGTGAGGCAAATAGATTTGCTGTCTTCCACCCTCCTGTAAGGTAGGACAGGCTGGAAAACACTCTCAGTACTGTTTATTCTTATGCTGCTGTCACCTCTCTCTCCCTCCCTCTCTTTCCCT